GACTGGAGGCTTTAAAAAGCACTCACAAATTCACACTAATCTTTCAGTTATAAGCACTCCACATCCACCTGTGTCAGGTAAGTTCTTCTAAAAACAACATATTGAAGAATAAGCACCAAATCTCAATTTTCCTTTTTTATCACTAAATTAGAAATTCTCCTTTACGCATGAACTCAATAAAAATTCTCTATCACCCCACCTTTGAGGTGCATTTTTCTGTTATTTTAAATGGAAAGAGTATCAGTGTAAAACCCAATGCAACACTRTTACCAAGAACAACTATCAAAAATATTACTAAAAGACAAGGAAGCTACAAGGAAGCTATGAGCARCCATATAACATCAAATACAGAGGAACATTTTGACATGCTCATTTCCAACYCACAGCATTTAATCCTCTGGAAGCCTCACACCACCACAACACAGACAGTTCTCTAGAAGAGATTTTGTACATCACCTATCCCTGAAACTGGCCATGCTTTCCCAAATGAAATGCATTATCCCTAAGGGATAGCAGAAGGTTTTTTTGCTGAGGGGGAATCCAACACACCCGCATCCCTGTTTATGAAAGGTTGGTTTCCATATGGAGTGGGTTTCTCTCAAGTCACCTCTTTAAAMCAAAGGCACCTTTTGAAGCTGCATAAATACGGGTAACTCCTCAGGTTAAGGTATTTGCATTTGTTAAGCTTCCAAATACTCAAACTGTTGAATTAGACAATTTATTCTTCTTTTCACTGAAAACGTGAACATTTACATAAAGGACAGAGCTATCATTAACGAGCTTGTTTTGATGAAGCACAAACAAGCGGGCAAGTCCACTTACCCAGGCTTTTTTTTCCTTTGCTTTATAAAACAAGTTATTACAACTGCTAAGCACCACATTCCAGGATGGCCACCACTGCAATCAATACAGCTTTTTATTTACTACTTGCTCTGTCATGTGGCAGCCAAARGGCTTTGAAAAAAGAGATTTTGTAGCAGTGAAAGCAGTGGAAAAGGGCCACCCTACTCAGACACGCAGGGATGGTGTTTAAACAATATCTCACTGTCCAGAAGAGATGAGATGACAATCTCACCACAGTAACTTTCTAGGAAACAGCAGCAACAGCAGCCTAGCACATCGTCTAAGCAGAGCAACACTGAGCACTTGCACAATATCATCTTTGTAATCATTTTTCTAACTACGTAAACATCTAACACCATAAAAAGAAGGGCAAGCTATGAAGGAAACATTTGAGAGCAAAGACAGAAGAATCTAGCAACAAAGATGCAAAAGGGGTTCGGATTTGTAGGAATGTTTGTATTCTATGGAACTTAAAAGACGAAAAAAGAGCAAAAGGAAAACTATTCCTTCTACATACTTGAAAACTCACGTTTCCTCTGAAGCCCCTCATGGAGCCAAATATCTACCACAGAGCAGCATGCCAGCTGGTGGCTCCATAGAACTGTAYCCTCTCCTATGCCTTAAACCCCATCAAGATCAGAGCTGCTGCCACAACCAACAAGTTCCTAGGTCCCAGTCTGTATCRAGGTCCAACCTACAGCCAGGAGTCCAGCAGCAATCCCAGCCTGCTGACGCCTGCTATGTTCTCACCAACTCTAACAAGWTTATTCCCTGATCTATTCCATACCACGCCACTGAACTGTCCATACTCCTATAGCAGGTGAAGCTACTCCGGGTTCTGACCTTCGACAACTGCATAGGTGGATTYGGGTCTAAATCACATACAAAGAAAATTACCAACAGTCTGACCGCAAATACTAATTCTTAAATGAGTAAATCTRGGAGTTTTTTTCACTGCAGGAATTCTATAGCTATTTTTGTACAAAGCAAAGATTTTCACTATTTCAGACATCTATAGTGTAGCCTGGGAAGTTATTTTTAAAGATCATGAGTTGCTATAAATATTTCCTACCAGTTCATTTCAACTGCCACATGAGCTGGCCCTATGGAATGGAAAGTTAAGTGTCCATTTAGTCAGGATTCCTCTAGAAATCAGAATAAAAATACCATCATTTATTTTTCTAAAAATATTTATCTGCAGAARTCATGAAATGCTATATTTAAATGTCATTCCCTAAGAACACTTAGGCCGATAGGAAAAGAGCAATCTCTCAGTTACCAAGTTGAGATTCTGTCACTCTCCTCATGACATGTAGCTGATTTTTTTCCACAAATGAAGAGAGGGGTTGGACTAGATGATCCCTGGAGGTGCCTTCCGACCTCAACCGTTGCAGGACTTTGTGTGACCAGGAGCACGGGAGGAGCAGGGACACAGGCTGCTGGAGCAGCACAAGAGCTGCGGTCACACAGGGTCTGTTCACACAGGTCCTGGACTGCTCTGTGTCCCCAGAGGCAAGACGAAGCATCCCTATCTTCGTTAAGACTAGGAAAAACCCTAACTTAAACCAACTCTTCAGTGAAGCAGATCTCCTCCTGTGCAAAGCACACTTTGCTCTGTGACCCAGCACACAGGACCCAAGCCAGTCCCACRCATCCTCACCAGGTGTCTGCAGCTCCTCATTCTGCCTTCAAACCTTTTACCTGGATTTCTGCATTCCAAGAAGCAAAGCTGTGACACAGAACCACTAACCAAGGGTGAAGTCACAGTTTTAAATAYAGGTCAGGGTCTACAGGTCAGTTTTAAATACAGGTCAGGGTCTACAGTTTTTATATACTTACATACTTTATATACTTTTTGTCTTCAAGGAGGTCAAGAGCTGCCTAAATCCAGTTTCTATTAAGATGCCTGTGCTACACCCCACTTCTTGGAAACCTGTCACCTAATGCTAGCAGGAAAACGAGCCCTAGCTCATGTTTTGGAAAACAAAACCAAGAGGGTCATTTGAAAAAGAAAATATTACAGCAGTCCCAACTGTGCTTCCTGGTGCCTTCCTTGCCTTTTCTACCACTCAGTTATTACTTGTTCCTCTATAAATAGGGAGGAAAGAAGGAGGAGGTGTTTTGCTTACACTTACAACATTTAAAAGATGCAAGTGGTTAATATTTAATCTGCTTTCAAATTGTAAAATAAAGCTAAATCATCAACTCTCACCAACAGCCAATTCAATGTTTCATTCAGCTATTAAAATGTTAAGCCTCTAAGTTACGGGCTAGATGAATTTCTGCTACAGAAAAAGTCTTACCCCAAATCGAGGTTTTCCTATATTTAGATACACAAAGGGAGTAGGAGACTCACTTTTCAATTATATCCAATAGTTCAATCAAAACCTTTAGGATAGACAGTTGCTCTCCAGCACAGATGGGTTTTATGTACCTAGAAAGAGGTACATTAAATACTAATGATTACTCGAATTAATTAGGTGTCATTTTCTGCTTAGAAGATGGCACTGTACTAAATAAAAACCTATCATATAAGCAGACTAGGCTTGAGAGCCATTAATATCGACACCATGGATTGTAAAAGCCTGAAAGAAGCCCTGTCAAAGGGGAAAAGAAACCAAAAAATAGAGACATCATCAGACTGGACATTCTTCTTCTTTGGGCCAATTGCTTTGGGAGAGCCATTTGGTTTGGAATGAATTTTGACAAGAACTGACCTGTCAAACTAAGTGAACAACTGGCAAATATATATTATGTAGACATTGAAATGGCTACCTGTATTTATGTTGGCTATTAAGTTAGTGAACAACAAAGTTTTATAGGAAAGTTTTATAGGAAAGAGTCAATGATAACTTCAGAGGTCAGAATTCAAATACAAGGCGACAACTTTTCCAATTACATTTACTGGCCACTTGAAATATGGCTCAAATTAGGAAGTGACATAAATTTCTACATGCTGATGTAAAACTGCAGCATTGGTTAGAAAAAGGGAGCTAACAGACATACCAAACTTGAAACCTGTATTGAATAGAAATCTAAATATAATTTATCTCCTGCCTTTAAAAGTAATCGGTCAAAATAAAATGGGTTCTCCTGGCAGATAGAAACAAAATTTTCCAAAGAGGAAAAGTTTAGCTTCACTGACCAGCTTTCACAGACCTTCTTCTACCCAAATTATGACACTATGTATACATCCCTTTATTTAAGGAGAGTCATTTCCTTTTGGCAATAAAAGCAGTAAGTCCAAATACTCTTCAGGTACACTAAAAGCATTCTCCTCTCTTGTTCCGTTCAAATGACCAGAATTTTTCCTTCCTCACTAGGTATTTAAATATCTTCCCAATGACTTTTGCAGAATTTCATTCACATACCAAGTAGCAGAAGCAAAATCAGAGTCAGACAGAAAATTACGCAGATTGTCCCCTATTCCTAACCTTTTCCTTTTTCCTGGATTCTCTTCTACCTGCCAAGTTAGAGGCTATTTTTAAGTTGTAAGCGCTCTGCCTCCTCCCCATTCAAGCTGTATCACTTTGCAAACTGGAATTCCTAGTTCTAGTCGGGTGATTAAGGCAGCTAACAGAGAAAGGACAGCTGGAGTTCAACCACTGCAAGATCTAGTACATTTTCTTGTGCATATTTTATCTTGTGCATTAAGAAAAACTGGGGAAAAAAGGTCACAAAGTGGTGAGTGCTTGTTTACTCCTGCTGAACAATTTAAGCTCTCTAAAAGGACACAGTAATTCCCCTGTATGGAGAGCACTGAGAGCTTTAAGATCAGTGACCACCACATAGAAGTATTGGAAGTGCTAAGTTACAGCCAAAAAACAACTATAACTTCAAATTCCCTGGAAGATGCAGAGAAGGCTTCAAGATTTGCCAGCACCTCAGGGGTTACATGCAAACACACCTACACTGGCTGCTACAGCTCCAATGCATCCCACAATACACAGGCACCAGGAGAAGCACCCAGATCCTCTCTCCATTTCCTAACATGCAATTTCTACCAACATGGTAAGTCAAAGATTCCAAGGGTATCCTTTACCAAGTGATGGAAATGAATATGCAGTCACTGATCTCTTCAATTTAACCATAACAAAATTCAACACAATCTAGTAACTAGGCTACTGATCTCATAAGGATTCAATAAATAAACTTACTCCAGAGAACCTGCTGCTGTTTCAGTCCAACTGGTTAGTGAAGTTGCTTTCTAGCATTTTTCCTACTATTATTCTTGTTTTCTTGGAAGGTTCCACAAGACGACCCAGATGTGACCTAAAAAAGCAAACACAAGAGGATGTTATTAAACCAAATGAGAAATTAGACAGTTTTTAGCGCATTTACCAACTCCATGAACCTGTTTTTGCACAGAAATATCTGATTAACCACTCATTTTCATTCTCTTYGAATGCTGCAGGAGTATATTCACATCATCACCTAATGATTAAACAATGTCTGCATCCTCAAACTGTAACAGGTCAGTAGAAAAAAAGAAAGTATGCAAGTGCAATGTGAAATGCAGGTTTGCGAATTATGGAAAACCAGACCTGATGACACCATTGATCCCAYGTTCCTACTCATATTTCAACCCGCAAAAGAGCAGCAAAATGATTAAACTCTTGGCCAAAACATTCTCCACTTAGCTGTATACTTTGCAAACCAAAGTCTCAGCAAAATGTAACCAAATCAATGACCCTCCCCTTGAAAACAAAGTAGTGCTCTGAATTTGCACTGATACTATCTGCACCTTCTTGGAGCAAGCYACAAAGCACAAGACATGGTACCTTCCCCCTCCCATTAACACCTCTTCCTAAAACCCAATAAATAGTTCAGGTTGATCTTATAGGAGCTCTCACACTGGCCAGAACTCTGAATTAAGGCAGTGGGAAGGCCAGTGCGTGGCCCTTCTCCCGTGCCATGCAGAGCAGAACCTTTCTAGAAAGCAACTGAGAAGCCATTCATTTTACYGAGATTCACGTGGGTGGGCACCAACTACTTTTGTCTCATAACCATCGAAGGAAACTAAATTACCAACCGATACACAAGTTTTTGGCAACAACCTGCTACGCATAAAGATGTGAATTAATGGACAAGCGCCACATGATTAAAGCTTAAGGGCCTATATTAGGCACTAGYCCAAAAGGGAAGGCTGGATGTGAACAAAGGCCTAAGTGGGGTAGAACTTGCAAGGGTTGCTCTGCCCAGGAACTTGCCCATAACCAGGATCCTGGAAGCACAAACAGCACATCTGCAAACCMATTCCGAGGGCTCAAGTAGGCAGGTGTTTTACCACGAGCTCAGTTCCCCAGGTTCCTCATGTTGACAGATTGGGATGGTGCCTCAGGTTCCCACAACTTCAGTTCATGGGAAACCTGTCAGTACCAACATAGCCAAGAAGAATGCTTCCAAGCTGCCCACGTGCCCCTGCCGGCATGTATGGCACTRCTTACCCTAAAAACAACTCCTGTCTCTGTACAGCTTGGTAGACCACACAGAAGACTCCAAAATACAACCTGGGAATCACTGGCAAAATGCACTATACTAGTTTTCTAATATTAGCTTGGATACTCTTGAATAAATCATGACCTTATTTCTTCCCTGTATTATACAATCTTCCCATTCTATTAAGCTGGTAAATGGGAACAACACGTAACACAGATGTGTTTTCTTTGTTTTCAACAAATCTGACAATGAAGACAAAGGCAAAATGAAATGCCCTCCAAAGGGAAAGCAGCAGCGCTTTCCGCTCTCGGCGCTCTCCAGTCCTGCTCTGTCTTCACACCACTTGGTCAAATCATGACATGAAATGAAAGGGGGCTCCAAATCACTTCCCAACCATTTGCCCCATCTTCACCTGTAAGACCCCAGAAGCCAAAGTGAGCTAATATTCCTTGTGTCTTATTCAGAACTCGGGCAGAAGGGATTTACCTGTTTTTGCACAGCAGTCAAGGTACTGGCAGCCAACCTGAGCATCAGCACGTGCGTAAAGCCTGAGAAACATCCCGGGTACATCACCTGCACACATTCMGCAACGCAGCACATTATGGTAGCTGCTGCCAACGTTCATCAGTTCACATCTTCTCACTGTCCACTTCTTGCAAGATTTCCGCTCCCTCCCTCCRGTTCCAGCTGCTCGCTGTCCTCTGCCCTCCACTCTCACCGTAGCTCGGGGAGTTTCACCCCTCCGCGGCGTCTCAGAGCGGGTACCAACACATTTACTGCTGATGCTCTGCAGCCAGCAGCAGCTTGTGATGCCAGAACAGGGAGCCCTTTGGATCTGACAACCTTCCCCATGTGTTCAAACCACTCGCTACTATTTCCAGGTGTGACACCTGCACCCACTCCTGCCTTCCTCTTGGCAGGATAGTGCAGTTTTCTTTAGCTGTCTCACCAACCTTTCTCATTTTTCAGACCAGTAGAACCCAAGTTACAAGAGATGGTCATTGATGTAAGTGCCAATCACATCCTGGTCAGCCATTCAAATATCAAAACCTTTCTTTCCACAAAGCACAGGTGGAAAACTTTTCCAGGGTGGTGACTGTATGTTATCTAGTGGGCCAAAGTACAAACTCTGCTGTACTTATTACCTAACATCAAGAGCTAGCAAGCATCAAAACACCATAAGAAACATTCATGCATAATCTGCTGGGAATGGGGAAAAGGTCACAAAGACATTAATACAATTTTAGCACCTGCCTCAAGCAGCAAACAAGTTAGATTCTGGTGTGCATACCCCTCTATCCCACCACATCCTTCTGGGGAATGTGGAAAATATAAAGCTATGATTTGGGCTTCTCCAATGGGGTCTCGGTCCYGAGTTTAGTCTAAAACACAACACGCAGGGGCTTGGCGCTCGCCCTTGGCTCTGCACCCACATCGCCTCTCAAAGCGCAGAGAGGCGACAGAAATCCTGCCCTGTAGTCACTGGCAAATGACACGGCAGGCTGCAAATCACCTTTTCTATAAATCCTTTTACCGTGCCTTTATTACACAAAGATGGTGTTTATGCTACCCCTAAAAGTTTTTGTTTTGATTTTTCAAGAAAGAATCAGATAGCTATGTGGTGGTAATCGAGACTTCTGTAGCCACATGGTACATTTCCCTAGAGCCTGGGCTCTTTTCAACTCCCCTCTATACTTTTCCTTACATCCACAGAGACACTGAGGAGTTCTGACAAATAATGCCATGCAAGACAGGAAGACATGCAACAAACCACTGCCTGAAATTCCTGCACAGCACCTAACCTAAACCCAAGACAATCACAAAACCAGGCAAGGAGGCCACACACACACACACAAAAAGTGCAGAAATAACCTAAGATGCTGCATAGCAATTCCTGGGCTCCATTTCCAGCCCTATGGCCTTCCTGCCAGACCAGTTTCTGGACCCATCAGGAGGCTCCCCTGGAGACCTGCAAGGAGACTGTTTGTCGGCCAGACAGCTCCGGGTCTGCCGCAGGTCAAGGAACCAAATCACCCAGCACAGCACTTTCCGGGCCACCTTCCTCCTCGCAAACCCATTTCCCACTCTCTCCGCCACCGAGGGAGGCACCGGGCTCAGGGCCGAGAGCATTAGCAGATGCTCTGGACAGCTAGACAGGGCCCAGCAAACAGCAAGGGGATTTTAGTGCTTCTGGTTCACAGCTTCAGCAACCTCAGAGCTGTCTCAAGCATTTCATGCCCTCAATAGCACCAAGGACCTGACAAGTGCACGTCAACCTGCATTAGCCCCTGTAGCATCTCATCGGCTGTGAGGAAACTCACTGTTTTACTGAGTCTGCAACAAGGAGAGGGTTCAATACCACAGAAAAATACCACAACTCAAAATGCTTTTGAATTAACAAGATAGGAATGCTGAACAAAAGCAAGCAGTGAGGGTTTTTCTTTGCTTTCTCAGGCCTAAGTTGCAGCAGTAACAGGCACAAAGGTTTTCAAGAACTTCCTCTGTAAGCAATTCAACTATTATGATTGAAGCCCAGGAATTAAAATAGGCAGAAAAAAAAAAAAAAGAAAAACTTCCCACCGTGCACATCGGGTTAAACCACAGCCCCTCAGACCTCCAGATACCATGCACTGCAAGTCCTGAAAATTAAAACTGCAACTTTGAAAATGTGAATTCCTACACACCGCACTGTCTCGTGCACAAGCACTAGGGCTGCCCCTGGTCATCCTCCTCTTTTGCCGTGTCCTTGGCCCCTTCAACAGGACTAGCCAGGTCTGACATTTAACGGTGGCACCTCGCAGCACTGTTATCAAGGGACATAATATTTTATATTTTATCAATAATCAACTGTTGTATACACAGTGGTGTTACTCCTGGTGTTCTACACTCAAAGGTGTTTATGGGTGTTAAAAGACATTAATATCCTGTAAATAAAATCAAGCCTCAGCCTTTCCTGGTGTCTCAGTTAAAATCCAGAATACAGATGCTCTGTGAAATCCATTTATCTCATACAAAATCTCTTTAACCAAAGCAAAACAAGCACAGAGCCACAAACTCTCTTCATATAAAAATACTCACATAAAGAAAAAAAAGGAAAACACAAGTAGAGACCAAAACTGCAGATTACCAAGCTCTAAAGCAAATAATCACATAAAGGAGAGCTAATTCAGAACTCCAGTCAGTTGTTCGCAGCCCTGATCGCTCTTCCTAAAATGGACAAAACAAAGCATTTTGAACAATTTGCTTCAAGAGCATTGCCCTACATATTCTCAAGYTAAGTGGATAATAGTTGGAAATGTGATTTCTGGTGAATTGAAGCTAATGCAGTTAGGTTTCTTCATTGAAGGGAATTCCCTAGTTACTGCAGTGCGGGATTCCGAGGAGCAGCTCCGCACGTGCCCCGCTGGCAGCCACGCTCACCTGGAGCCACCCCACGGAGCTGCAGCTCTCCCTGCTTCCCGCTATGGCATCCGCCAGATCTCTGCAAATAGAAAGGCTGTCCTGGCACACAGGGAGCTAGGCATGTGCTTACCATAGAGGAGAAATATTTTAATTGGGTCATCCTCTGCTGAAGAATTCCCTGAAATTTACAAGTGTAAGGCAATGCTAAAAACATCTTGCAGGTTTTCATCAACTATTTATTTTGAAAAAGATTATTTCTGATTAAGGGGTCAGGTAGTGAAATTTGTATTTAATTTCCTAGGGTTTTTTCCCCTCTGTCACAGTGAYAATATCCTGATGGCAATAAAGGTTAAGCACCACTGCAATCCTCATACTCATTGCTATTTAGAATTCAGCAGGAATTGAGGGGCAGGAGCCTTTCTTCCCCTTGC